ATTATTAATTTTAATGAAAATTTACAGAGACTTTGGATTTCCATTCATTCATTGTTGCACTTTTCTCCCTGCCCATCCCCGTCACCCCAATTCACTCTTCTCTTTGAAAAGTAAAAGAAGAATTCTTTCATTGTTATACAATCCCTCCCCCCAAGTCTACTCCACTATGCAATCTTCATTCTGGACTCCTGTCATGACAATAATATCTAATAATATGTCCCTTCTAAACAGTTCTCTCCCTCATGTGTTTCAATGCAGTAATTTATTCCATCTTTCTCAGTCTCCCTCCAACCCTGATGTCAGTCCCATTTTACAACAGTGGCACTAGGCAGTATTTGTCTTTATGACTAACATATTTCACTCAGCATAATGTCCTCCAGGGTCACCCATTCTGAATGATAGTTTGGGGGTTTTTAGTATCATATACAAAAAGTAACTCTGAGATGAACTGTTGTGTGCTGTTGTGATCTGAACCAACTTGTACCTGACTTTTCCAAAAGTTTCCGGAGGTACTTAATTCACTCAGGAGGAGACTGTCCATTTTTTTCCAGTAAAGCAGCTGGTGGATTAAAACTGCTTGCCTTTGCGATCTTGGCACGACTTCTTACTACTAGACCACCAGAGTTCTCATCTATTTTAGATACTTACATTCTAGCAGTAAAAAGAAACTGTCACACTATCGTGCCCTCCCATGGTATCAGAGAAGAATTTGACTCATTCCTATATTTTTTTTAAGCGAATGAACATAAATCATCACTAAAACGTTTCCTGTGAAAATAGGTTAACACATAGCAATATTCAGTAAACAGGATTTATCTTATAGAACTTGTTTCAAGGGAATAGTTTTATTGAGAAAAATACTTGTTATTATTAAAAGTTCAGGTAATAAGGCTCTCAAACTGACCCCGTTCCATAATCTCTAGGGAAAAGCAAAAGAGCCAAATATCAGAGTGCCCTCTGAGGTCTTGTGTTGGATAAAGAAAAGTAATGGATGGTTGGCACTGGAAGTTTCCTCTGACCCATCCCTGTTGCCAGCTTTAATCACTGTTGTTAGCAACCGTGGCCTCTGAAACCTCCTTATTCACTCCCTTCCACAAAGGATTTCTAAATAATTTTTTATATAAAAAGATTTCTGGCTCTTAGTAGGCCAGACACATTAGCTTTACTATGATTATAGAATATCCTGCACATCCAGGTGAACACTGAGGTTGTAGCTCTCATCAAGCTTGAACATAGGCAAGCTGAAATTACTTCAATAACATTCAGATTCTCAGGTTTGATGCATTCATTCCATTTCCCCAAAGTTAGCTGTTTCTCAATATTCACATCTGTGATTTTAAATATTTTCTCTTCTTTTTTTCTGAGAATATTAACTCTAATTCAAGTAACTGAATGGATTAGAAATATTTTATATTATTTTTTTCCTAAGAATATTAACTCTGATTCAACTAAATGAATGGATTAGAGTTAAATATTCTTAGGAAAAGAATAATAGAAAATATTTAAAATAATATTTTTTGTTCCAATTCAGTTAAGGTTCTAAAGTTAATTGACACCAAAAGGCATGCAAGTCTTCTGTAAGGAAAATTTACAAAGAACTATACAACATTGAGTTTTTACTCTTGGATGTCTCAGTCAGGTAATATGGAAGGGTATGAGTTTGTATGAAAATTCTTTAGAGAACTGTTACTTAAGTGACTGGGAATTTTCATGCTAATCAATGAGTGAGGTATGAGGGTGTTTTTCTCTTTTATGTCAAGCCTACCTACCAAGGGGCAGTATCTGAAAGAGAACTGTTTAGAGAGCTTAATAACTGAACTCTCAGTTGAGGTGAGAATGGAATAATATCTGATTCTCTCCCTGAACATCCAAAACTAGAAATACTCAAGAACAAAATGCTTTCACAGCAGGGTAGAGATAAAGCGGCAGCTATGCTGGGGAGTGATTATCAGTGAATACAAGATGCAAAGATCCTGAGGATTTGTGTGGATACTTATTATAAAAGTTTCAGTCTCAGGACATAAACACACAGACACACATGCTAAGAGTTGAAAGGGATCACTGTAAAGAGGTCCTTGACAGCAGATTTGCCTAAGAATAGTACCAGAAGAATGTCTATTTGTGTTTCATTGACTATGCAAAGTCATTTGTGTGGATCTCAACAAACAGTTGCTAATCTTGAAAAAAAGGGAATCCCAGAATACCTGATTGTGCTACTGTGAAACCTACACTTGGACCACCAGCCAGTCTTCACAACAGATGGTTCAAAATCAAGAAAGAAATGCAATAAGGGATATATCCTATCTCCATGCCTTTTCAGTCTACATATGGAACAGATCATTCAAGAGGCTGGAATTTATGAGGGGGAATGTGGCATCAGGATTAGAGGAAGACTCATAAAAAACCTGCGCTATGCAGATGATGCAACCTTGTTTACTGAAACTGAGAAAGACCTGAAGCATCTGCTGCAGAAGGTCAAGGACTGTAGCCTTCTATATTGAAGCTCAACATCAAGAAAACAAAGATTCCTATCACTGGGCCAGCTGGGAATATCATAACAGAGGGAGAAGAGATTGAGATAGTTAACAGCTTCAGCTTGCTTGGCTTAAAAAACAAATCAACACTCTTGGTACCAGTAGCCAGAAAATCAAAAGACAAATTGCACTAGGGAAGTGTGCTATCAGGGACCCCTCCAGAGTACTGAAGAGCAACACTGTCAGTCTAGAGACTAAAGTGAGTCTGATCTAAGCCATGCTCTTCGCAATTACTTACCATGCATCAGACAGCTGGACAATGAATAAGGACACTGAAATATTAAGAATATTAATATTAAGAAATATTAAGATGTGATGCTGGAGAAGAGTATTGACAAAAATCATGTAATGCCAAGAACAGGTCTGTCCGAGAGAGTGAAACCAGGATGTTCCTTGGAGGCCAAGACTTTGAAGCTCTGTCTCATATACTTTGGGCATGTTGCCAGAAGGGACCAGTCCTTTGAGAAGGACATCATGCTTGGAAAGGTGAAGGGACAGCACAGGAAGACCCTGGATGAGATAGATTGACACAGAAACTGGGTAATGAAGACAGGTGAGCCAGAAACAGTGATATTGGCTCAGGATAGGGTAGGGTTCAGAGCTATTGTACAGAGTCATTCTGAGTTGCATGTGACTCAATGGCACATAACAACATATGATTTTTTGACTGCTGCTTCCATGGGTGATAACTGTGAAATTAAATTAAATAAAACTCTTGACAATTTCAATCTTTCCTCCAATTACCATGATGATATGTACTGGTCCAGTTGTGAGGATTATTGTTTTCTTTATACTGTGGTGCAATCCAGGCTTAAGAGTAGTCTTTGATCTTCAGTAAGTATTTGAAGTTCTCTTCACTTTCAGCAAGCAAACTCACATAGGCAGGTTGTGGATGAATTTTCCTCCAATCATAATGCCATATTCTTCTTCATGTAATCCAGATTCTCAGATGATTTGCTCAACACAGAGACTAAAAAGACATGATGAAAGGATACAACTCTGATACGTACCTTTCCTGATTTCAAACCATGCAGTTCTTCACTTTGAAGAACTACTTCTTGGTCCCTGTACAAGTTCAACACGAACACAACAAAGTGTTTTGGAATTTCTTCCTAATATTC